CTAATACAAAGAGCTCAGTCAGGTACCAAAGGTTACAACAAAACTGACACAGACGCCAAAGGGGACTGGGGCATTTCACCAGCCTCATGTCTCAGCAAGGAGCCCTTCTACTCTGGGCCCACCCACACAGAGGCTGGGTTTCATCATTGACTAATTAAAAAAAAAAGAAAAAGAACAAGAAAATCAAACGTCTTATTTCAAAAGGAAAACCTAAGTTTCCACAAAAATCCCAGAGTGTGAGGGACTTTTTCCACAGGCTGGAGAGACCCGTTGCAGACTAGAAGTCTCTTTTCATCACAATCTGACATTATAGAAGATTTCTGGTCAAGACAGGGGCCTGACTGGAGGAAGATCACCCATCTCCCATATACTTCTCCGGCAAAAATCTCAAAGTCACAGCAGACAGAAGAATGATCAAGAAAGCCAATAAGAAACTGTAGCAAATGACTTCTTCCACACCAGAACAACACATTAAATTAGCCAGAAGTTCATGGGAAAGGGAGCCATCAAAAAAACCAGTATAGACACAAACAAACCAGCCAGCGGTGTCACAACATGTCCAGGGATATAACAAAGGCAGCTGCATCCTGCAAAGCCACAAGAGGCGCAGGAGCAGAAGCTTACCCTCAGAAAGACCCAGTTGGATCAGAAATCCACAGCAGGGATCTTCGAAGGGACTGAGCAGGAAACAGTCCTTTTTCTATTCAACAAGAAAACGATACATTAAGCTCTAATCTGTAGCCTTGCAGTGGCTGTGACACGTAAATGCTCATCCTACAAATTTAACCATTCGCTCTGGAGGAGCTGATTCCATCAGGTTCCAGGACACCGCTGTCCTTGGTCCTGAGTAAATCATGAACTTTGGAATTGGCAGCCCTAGTTCCAAACCATGTCTAATTGCAAGTCATAGGGAGGCAGAGGAATATTACAGAGGATGCTGGGGCTGGAGACAGAAATCTTGTTTCAATCAAGTTATCAGCTGTGTGTCCTCCACCAATTCACTTACCTTCCGTGGCCTTCAGCTCACCCATCTGACAAATGAAGAGGTAAGTTGCCCTGGGTTATTTCTGAGAGTCATAAAATCCCTTAGATAACATGAATCAGTGCCTCCTTCCCTTCCTTATCATACAGATGAAGGGACTGATGCCATGAGAGAGGGGAGGACTTTCCCAGGATTGTACACCTTACTCAAATCAAAGTCAATTGCCAAGTCATATCATCATCTCCCCGATGTCATGGTCCTCTTCAAGAACAAAGGACAAACATGCACGCAGCCTGTAGAAAAGACAGAACCAGACTCTCTGCCTCAGTCTGGCTCCGGGTTCCCAGACCAGGGATCTTTTTCCTACACTTTCCCACCTGTCTAGGTCTCCAGTGCTAAGTAAAATGGATATCCAGTAGACCTTATGTTTACCTGTTCCTTTTGCGTTCTTACTCTAAATCTAACCTAAACACCAATGCAGAAGTCAAAATTCACTAAGAGATACTAGAGTTCTCAACTTCTAATTTCTCTAACTCTCCAAGTGAAAGTCGACCAGAGGATTCCTAGCATCAAAGGCATTTCCTGGACATCCAGAGCCCAGAGGACTTGTTGCTGACCCAATGTCTGGATTTTCTTCTCTTTTATAAGACTTATAAGGATAGGATGGAGGAAAGATGGAGATGGGGATTCTTGGCTGTACTACTCTGTGCCACCACTGTATGATTTTTTTAAGCATCCAAAGTTAATTTGTCTGTAAGGAGGTATGGACACCTGGGTCCTGCATACCTCCGTTGGACAAGAGATTAGACCTTTAGAGGTGTGCACATGCCTTCAGGGATTCACTCTCGGTTCCTTTCCTGTTCAAGCTAGCAAAGGTCATTGACTGTCACCCCTAATCCACTGAGTGCTGGGCTCTCTTCTTCTTTAAATAATAGTGCTCAAGGTAATGATTATTGCCCCCACCCCTAATAAGCACATCACCTTTAACTTTATGCTTCTCTAAAATGCAAATCAAAACAACTCTGAGGTATCACATCACACCTGTCAGATTGACCAACATGACAAAACTGGAAAATGATAAATGTTGGAGAAGATGTGGGAAAATTGGAACACTAATGCATTGTTGGTGGAGTTGTGAAATGATACAATCATTTTGGAGAGCAATTTGGAACTATGCCCAAAGGGCTATAAAAATGTGCATACCCTTTGACCCAGCAATAGCACTTCTAGGACTATATCCCAAAGAGATCATACAAATGGGAAAAGGACCCACATGTACAAAAATATTCATAGCAGCTCTTTTTGTGGTTGCAAAGAATTGGAAATTGAGAGGATTCCCATCAATTGGGGAATGGCTGAGCAAGTTGTGGTATATGAATGTAATGGAATACCATTGTGCTATGACAAATGATGAACAGGCTGACTTCAGAAAAACCTGGAAAGACTTGTATGGTCTGATGCTGAGTGAAGTGAGCAGAACCAGGAGAACGTTGTACACAGTAACAGCAACGTTGTGTGGACTAATAATGATAAACTTAACCCTTCCCAGCATACAAGGATCTAAGATATCTCCAAAGACCTAGTGATGGAAAATGCTATCTACATCCAAAGAAACAAATGTGGAAGTTGAATTGCTATTTTTTTTCTCTTCTGTTGAGTTTTGTTTCCTCTTTCTGGTGGTTCCTCCTATTGGTTGTAACTTTTACTTACAACATTACTAATGTGAAAATATGTTTAATAGGAATGTATATGTATAGCCTATATCAGATTGTTCCCCATCTTGGGGAGGGTGGTGGGAAGGAAGAGGGAGAAAAATTTTAAACTCAAAAACATATGGAATGGGGCAACTAGGTGGCACAGTGGATAGAGCACTGGCCCTGAAGTCAGGAGGACCTGAGTTCAAATCCGGCCTCAGATCAAACACTTGACACTTATCAGCTATGTGACCTGGGCAAGTCACTTAACCCCAATTGCCTAAAAAACAAACAAAAAAACAAAAAAAAAATATGGAAGTGATCGTTGATAAATCAAAATAAATTAATAAAAAAAATTAAAATAAAAAAAAACTTTATGCTTCTCTAGCCAAGACCTCATTGGAGTCTTATAAAGAAGTGGTACTGGGGCAGTTAGGTGGCGCAGTGGATAGAGCATTGGTCCTGGATTCAGGAGGGCCTGTGTTCAAATCTGGCCTCAGACACATAACACTTACTAGCTGTGTGACCCTGAGCAAGTCACTTAACCCCATTGCCTAGCAAAAAAAAAAAGAAGTGGTGCTGAAGGCGTTAAGCCTTTTTATAGATGGAGAAAATGAGGCCCAGAAAGAAGACAGGACTTGCCCAACGTCACATAGTGAGGCAAGTTTGGAAATGGAACTCAGATCTCTTGGTGCCTAGTCACATATGCACAGACCTACACTGTATATACAAACACATACATAAGCATAAACATACCCTCAAAACCCCAACATACCCTCATTCTTTTTCTTCCTGGGCTCTGGGTAAAGGTTTGATAAATGAGCTACAGTGAGAAATAGTATTAGGATGAGGGTGGGAAATCGAGCATTGAAGTCTGAGAGCCAGGGTTTTCCTTTCTGTTCCAAGGGCTGATGGATAATCACAACAGGAGGTGAGGCAGGAATGGGGATGTCAGAGATTCCAGATCCCAGCCTGGGTCTGCTCAGGAGGGAGGGAGGACAAATAGAGAGCTCCTCCCTCTGGAGTACAGATTTTGGCTTCTTGTGTCAACTCTGCTTCCAGAGATCAGAGGGGACAGGCACCTTAACTGGAATGGGGGGGGCGCCAAGGAGTCAACACTCTTACTTTCCTATGTGAACCCTCTATCCCACCGTGCCCTAACTGGAGGCTAAGAGATGGCCTGGAGATCTGGTCAGAGTAAACAGCACTGCTCCACGACCACAAAGGGAGAGATCCCTGGTGCCTCAGGGATGATTGAAGGCACTTAGGAAGCTCACAGAATCTAAGGAAAATTTGTTAATAATAACACTAAAATTTATATAACATCCTCTTCTGGAATCTCTAGATTATCAGTGTCCCTGTTATGCATGGGACACAGCACTGAACAGAATGTCCACATGAGCTCTCACAAGGGCAGAGGACATGGGCTCTTTCTCCATCTTGTTCCTGAAAGCTGGGTCTCTCAAGCGAGGCCCAGGCAGCAAGAGGCTTGCTATCATTTCACACTGCTGACCCTTATGGAGCTTACAGTCCCAGATCTTTTGAGGAACCTGTAGTGTCTTTGATTGCCCCAATTCTCTAGCATGTGCTGATCCTTTTGCATCATCCAATAGGTTAAGCTGCTGCTCCTAGCTTTGTGTCATCTCCAGGTTCACTGACCATACCTTGTATGCCTTTATCCAAGTCATTGGGAGAAAAAGTCAAATAGTAAAGAAAAAGAAGAGTGGGTCATTGCAGCACTTTCTGAGGTTCAGAAGGGAACATGAGGAGGACTAGATAGAAAGAGATCTTTGAAAGATACATGACTTTATCATTTGTGTTTGAAAGGTTCTGGAGGGAACACTTTGGCACCAGCCCTGTAAAAGTAGGAGGGGCCCCAATTCCAAAGTCTTGGGTGTTATCTCTGGAGATCTCTGGAACAAGAGGTGGTGACTTGTTTCCAGAAGAAGGGAGCAGATGTTAGCCTATGGGAGGTGAGGATGGGACAGAAAAGAGAAGCAGGAAGAGAGCCCTCAGAAAATGGGGACCCAGTAGAGGCCTCATTAGGCTAGTGTCCAGCAAACAAAAGCAGAATTTCTTTTCTCTTAAGATGAAGCTCTGACACTTATCGCTTTTATTCAGAGTCTAAAACAAATGACATTTGGTTTTCAAATTGCTCGACCCAGTTTCACAGGATTAAGTGCCTCCAGTGTGTGGAACCCAGAGCTGCAGAGATTGGCTAAATCAGGCTCCTGCCCTCAGGCAGTTCCAAACGTCTCTTCAAATTTGAACCCAATCGGAGGAATTCAATAAGGAAAACAAAATTGTCCTTTAAGGCTACTCACCTACGGAGTCTGGACTATTGGGATTCTCCATTGAGTTCCTGAGAGAGCAGAAACTTCAGTTCTTCCCCTGGACTTCAGCCTTGAAAACCTGAAAAGGTCTTGGTTATAGTTTCTATTTCAGAATTTAAACCTTCCCCCATTCACAGCCCGAGCTCCTCCCCAGCAATTCAGGTACTCAATTACAGAGAAAACTGCCTTCCAAAAGATGTGTTATACAGCTGCTCAGAAACCTAGACTAGGATGGAGGGCCCACCCTACCTCCCCCCAAAAAATTATACAATGGTGGGGGATGGGGTCAGTCAACTCAGTCCAGCAATTTCCCACTTGTCTCCATTACAATATGCTCTCCTTCCAGGCAGCAGCTGTTTTTGTTGTTAATGTTTCGGGCTGGGGTCGGGGATTGGTGGGAGGATTGAATGCTTCCTTTGAAATTCTGGAGGTAAAAAGGACTAGCCCTTAGTAAGTACTTTATAAATGTTTATTGGCTCACTGACTGCTTTCCCAGCCCCCTCCTCCACCCTAGATACAAACTCCAATCTCTGCCCAGAAATTCCATACCAATCCACACATTTTTCTGAGGAAGAAAGTGAGACACATGAAGTTGTCATTTGTCCAAAGTTAAAAATATATCTAAGTGTTGTTTTATAAAAAAAAACAAAAACAACCAGAGGTCATGGATTTGAACTCAAATTCTTTTCTTATGCTCTAAATCCAGAGCTCACAGGGAAGGACTAGTTTCTGCACTGGGTAAATCACGAACTTGACTCTGTTTCCCATCACAAATCCAAACTCAAACCTCCTTAGTCCTAAAACCAATCTTTGATTTTGAAGACCATTTTCTCTTAGCCTGTGGTGTGCTAATAAATGATTAGCAACTAGTTTTCAAAAAACAAACAAAAAAACAAATTGTACCCAAAATACACTTTTCTTTTTTCTTTCTTTCTTTTTTTTTTTTTTTTTGCTGAGGCAATCGGGGTTAAGTGACTTGCCCAGAGTTACACAGCTAGTAAGTGTTAAATGTCTGAGCTGGATTTGAACTCAGGTCCTCCTGACTCCAAGGCCAGAGCTCTATTCATTGCACCACCTAGCTGCCCCCATGATATACTTTTAAATTTGCTGTTCGGTCATTTTTCAGTTGTGTTTGACTCTTCGTGACCTTATTTGGGGCTTTCTTGGCAGAGATACTGGAGTGCTTTGACATTTCCTTCTCCAGCTCATTTTTACAGATGAAGAATGGAGGCAAACAGGGTGAAGTGACTTGCCCAGGGTCACCCCAGCTAGGAAGTGTCTCAGGCCAGATTTGAACTGAGTAAGATGAGTCTTCCTGATTCCAGGCCTGATGCTCTATGAACTATGGTGCCACCTACTGGCTCTTCTTTTAAGTTTAATCTATAGTATAAACATTTTTCTCCATCACTTCTTAAATGTAGATAATCAAGAAAACATGAATCAAGCCTTGATTTACAGCCATCGCAGGCTTCTGAGCTGCAGCTACTCACTCCCTAAACTTAAGAAGCCCCTCTGGTGCAGCTGGTTCCAACTGCATTAGTACAGCCCTGCCCCAAGTCTTGCTTTGTTCCTTTTCTGCTTTGGACGTGTGGAGTTAGGGATGTCTACAGCAGGAGAAGTCCCAAAGGCATTGGAGATGCTGAAGTAAAGCTTAGTAGACAGACAAGAGCCCAATTTCTACTGGGATTGATCTGTATAGAAAGGACAGTACATTTTGTGTGATCCAAGATTACTGGAAAAGAAAATCAATAGAAAATGGGGGGAGAAGAGGCAAGGTCAGAACTCAGGGGATCACCAATGCCTATGGGTCAAACTATGGATGCTAGTCCTGAAAAAACTGATAGGTGGTACAGTGGATAGAGTGCCAGGCCTGGAGTCAGGAAGACTCATCTTCCTGAGTTCAAATCTGGCCTCAGATACTTCCTAGCTATGTGACCCTGGGCAGGTCACTTTACCCTTTTCGTCTAAGTTCACTCATCTGTAAAATGAGCTGGAGAAGGAAACGGCAAAGCATTCCAGTATCATTGCCAAGAAAACCCCAAATGGGGTCACAAAGAGCTGGACACACCTGAAATGACTGAACAAAAAAGGAAGTGTCAGAAAGGGAGAAAAATGAAGGAGAGACACAGGAAGAGAGGATGGCTAACAGCATGAAATACTATGGGAAGGTCCTGGAAGGTGAATCCTGGGGGAAGGATTCCAAATACAGCAAGATACAGATCTTTGTTGTCCTTAAAGAAGGCAGATTCAGCTGAGTGTTAGGGAAGCAAGGACAGAGAGAGAAGTGACTCTAAGAGGTTGGGAGTAGTAGGACATGCAAAGGACAGGCATTCTGTATTGAATGTTATTTTCTGGGAATTTCAAGGCGAAAGGGAGGAGATATCTCATAAGGTAAGGGGTAAAGGTGTTGGGCTTTTGTTGGTTACATTTAAGTATGGAGGAAGTCTTTGTTTGAAGCAGGAAAGCAGGAACTGTTGCATGGAATATCTCTTTTGAATGTCTCTGTCTCCGTGTCTCTAGACCCTGACATTTCACTCATTCTTGTCTTCCTTACGCATTTCTCTCATATCCTTTTCCAACATCACCATATCCTGACAGGGCTCTAGATGTCATCAAGTTGCTCCCATCTTAACTGCCCCAAGTGGGACACTCAGTAAATACTATGACTCCAGTGACTCAGGGATCTGCTCCTCCCCAGCCACCCCAGAACCCAGCTTCTGCAGCCACTGAGATTGAAATTCTTGTCCCTGGCAAGGGCGCTGGGAGAAACTAAGCATCTCCAAAACCTGAGACTCCCAGAAGCTCTAGATCTATGTAGCATGTGGATGGGAGAGGGGAAAATGGAGACCTTAGCTTCATCGTCTCCTATGCCTAACAGCTTCTGGACGCTGTCTAATACGCAAAGGTGGCCAACAGCATTTTGGAGATCTGGAAAGCAGTGAGAGTCAATGGGGCAAGGAGATCCCTGAAAGGACAAGGAATTTGCATTTCACCAAGAAAGTTTCATCAAGGAAAGGAAACAGTTATTGGGAAGACCTAGGATTCCTCTTGTTTAGGAGATAACATGACCTGCAGGTCACACCTCCCCAAAGACCCAGCAGGCAGATTCAGCAGAGCCTTCTCAGGCTTCTTCTGGGCACAGAGCTATACTGAGAAGGTGAAAAGGGAAAAGGCTCTTCTCTAGCTTCATTTTTCCTCTTGCAGAAGGAAGAAAAGCTTCCGTGTAAGGATGGTTAGAAGTCCCTCTTGCCATGACAGAAAGAATGTCAGATCCAAAGAATATCAGAGCTGGCCAGGAGCTCACAGGCATCCAGTCTAACCCATCTCTGCCCAAGGATTCCCTCCACAATGTTTCTGACAGGTCTCCAACAGTGCCCCCAGCCAGTCTTTGTTTGAATATCTCCAGTGAAGGAGAGCCTTACTCTCCAGAGGCTGCCCTTGGCACTTAGCAATTTGGGACAGCTCTAATTGTTTTTATTTTGGGGGGGGCAGGGGAGGAGAGGGAAGCAATAAGGGTTAAGTGACTTGCCCAGGGTCACACATCTAGTGTTCTACTGACTCCAGGACCCATGTTCTATCCACTGTAACACCTAGCTACCCCAGACAGTTCTAATTGTGAAGACCTTTTTCATGCATGGGGATGAAACTTGCTTCCTACTGCTTTCTCTCACAAACCTATTTCCTATAAACCACCACTTCCATGACTTATGTAGAGAAGGGAGGAAGGCTGAGGGCAGCAGAAAGGGAGGTTCTCCAGTGGCAGAGTTCTTCATCTCCCACCCACAAATACACACACATTTTTCAATTAATCAAAGAAACTGCATACTTCTTAGAATGTGGCCCCTCCATCCCTGGGCTCAGTTTCTGAGTGGCTGTGAACAATATCTGGGGGAGAGGAGGACATGCCCACTAGACTGAAGAACCTGGATTCTTAGGAGATGAGCTTGGGTCACAAATACAAAGGAAGCCTGAGCTTGTGGACAAAAGCCTCCCAGTCCTAGAAGGCAGAAGAATAGAAGGGCAGCGGAGGATCAGCCACTTGAAAAACTCCACAGAGAACCACAGCAGCCGGGATAATGATGACAAGTCCCCTTCAAGGTGGGATTTCTTTTTATTCCTGAATTTCTCTGCATTGGATCTAACCCCAGCCAAATTGGGAGCCCCTTGAGTCCAGAGGTCTGAGTTAATTGATCTCTATGGCTTAGGGTCTTGCATCCAGTAGATACTTAATCCTCAACTGTGGAAATAACTTGAAGGGTTTAAGCAGCAAATGCTACCAAGAGCTGGAGTTACCAGTGCCCCACAGTGTCTAATATGGAAACACATAAGAAGACTGTGTTGTCTTGCTATCTGTGTAACCCTGGGAGACTCTCTTCACCCTCTAAGCCTCAGATTGCTCATTGTTATTATCAAGGACTTGTACTAGAGGGCTTCTTGGAATTACCAACTCTATGATCCTTCAAATTCCTTCACCTCCCTTTTGGGCTCATTTTCATTGACTGTAAAAAGAACCATTTGGGAACCAATGATTTCTAAGCCTCCTTCCAGGAATAAGAGGAAGGAAAAAAATGAAGGAGAATGAAAAATCTATGAGGCTCTGCGTTGAGATCTATCTCGCCTAGACTCTGGAGTGGACCTTCGAAGATCAACCATTCCTAAATCAGAGAATGGAAGTGATGACCAGAGAGGGGAATGACGTGAACTAACGTAGGTCACAAGAGGAGGAGCAGAATTAGGATCCGTAGGCCTCCTTTTGTTAAGAGACTTAAAAGTCACTTAGTGGGGTTCTCTTGTTTTTACTGAGGGGGAAACTGGTGGCCAGGGAAGGGAGGAGGCCAGGGTAATCTGCAGACTTGTATCCTGAACTTGCTGTTTTGACCCCAAGTCCCAGGCTCTTTCTAATGTACTATGCCTCACATACAATAAGGCAGAATTCATAGGAATGGATTAAGCAGAAGATGCCAGGGCAGGGTGAGTGAGAAGTCAGTCACAGAAATTGAGAGCTGGAAAGAACTCTCAGCAACCATCTGTATGCACCTATAGCTGAACAAGCATCCATTCTGGACTGCCCACCACAAG